ATGTTGCTTATCAGATATAATTTACATTTATATTTCATTATCTACACATGAATTAATATATAATAAATGCTAGCTAATGCTAGTAATATTTAAAATTAATCAAGTACATTTTAAGATCTTTAACGAATGGGAATCCAACGTAAAATCTAAAGCTAGGAGAATTCACTTTGAACAAGAATTAACTGGAGGTGGTATTGCTCTAATTGAAATTTTAACAAATCTAGAAAAAAAATTTTTGGAGGTTTTGTCAAAAATATTAATATATGGGCACCCCCAAGTTGTAGAATTAGCTTACAAAAGAAAAAAATACATGAATCAAATAAACAGAAAAGGACAAAAAGAGATCAAGGAAAATCTTTCAGTATAAAAGTTTTTACATTAATTTTTTATTATTAATTATTTTGCATTTTCACCTGAACCATTTGAGCCGTTATGTTAAGGAGTCGCATCGAAATGTTAGAAAAAACTTCAATTATTTAAAAAATAGTATATTTATTTTGAATGTGGCATAGGAAAACTTGTTAAAATCTATAAGTAATTAAAATATTAAATTAAAAATATTTTATTTCATATGGATATTTTCAATAATATAAAATATTATTTTATTAATATTAATTATATATTAATATTGATATATTTTATTAATATTTAATATTATTTTATTCATAAACAAATATTAAATCAAATATGGCATGAAACTTCATGTTTCCAAAATAATTTTGAATTGCCCTATTTCTTACAATACGGCCTTACTGCAAATTATTTCTTCTTATATCTGTATAATTATCTTCTTCTAATTCGTCATTTTCATCATTTATCATTCAACATTTCTAAAATAAAATATAGATTTTACTTTTGTTAAATCGAAATTAAGCTACACTTACCATTATTATCATCCAAATTTTCATTTCTAAGGATACACAGGTTATGTAATATTGCACAGGAATAAATTGTGTGTGCTGCCCTAGCTGGAGCAACAAGAATTCTTGATTAAATTGGTTTCAAGTTTCGTAACGTGAAGGTTTTCGATTTCCGTTACAATTCTTGACATTTGTCAACCTTGATCTGCAGTTTTATATCAATTTCTGCATTAGTGCATACCAACTTTTGAAGTTTTCAAGGTTACTTGACATAATTTCAAACCCTTGACAAATTTCAATCAATTTGTTTTTTACAGCATAGTAAACCTCCATTTTTATTGAAATGTCTGTCTAAATGTCATTTTTTCTTATAAATTCAACCTTGATATGAAGTCAATGTTCATACAGCATAGGGCTAATTGTATATTTTATGAGGACCGACTTCTATAACAGCAAGGACAACACAAATGAAAGAAATTAACAAATATAATCATCAACCTCCAACAGATTTTGAGGTTTTGAAGTAAAACGCAATGACCATCGATCATCGATTTGACACTTATTAGTTCACTATTAAGAGCAACAGAGGTGGCCACAAATGTCACAAACTGTAATGCGTTCTGGTTTTCAAATAACTCCTGATAGTTCCAAATCGTTTAGAATTTTGTCTATTGCATTTATAGTTCAGCGCTGATTCTGGACTGTTCAGAAATAGAGAACCCAAACAAAGCTAATGACTCATTACATAGGTATATGTCCAGAGCAATACAACTACAGAGTTGAATGGTGCAAAGACATAAAGTTCAATGTTGTGAAAACTAAAATTAATTTCGACGATTATTTCAACTGTTTAAAAAAAATCGTAGGGAAGTATTTGGTGCATAAAACTCAACATTGCATACACTCAAAACTGCATGACATATATAGCGTTGAACAAACAAAAATAACATTAAATCCTGTAGATGATAAGGGTACACACTTTTTTGGGTTCACGCTACTCCATAATGGATATATCAAGATTTCATCACTAGGGTTCAGATGACAACTAAATATCTGGATTATTTTTATATCTTTCTCCTGTATATATTTTAACTAATTATTTATATGTTTCCTCTGTATATATATTTTTTCTATGTATATTATTTATATCTAATATGTACTTATGTATGTACTGTAGGTTGAGTTTAGCATGATACATAATTGATAAAAAAAACTCTATAGCAAATTTTTAAGTATTCTCACATAATTCTATTAATATTGCCGTTAGAACTACGCATTTCTGGAAGTGGTAGATTATATTTAAGATAAATATTATTTTTTGTTCTATGATTTTTGTAAAATTGGGTTGTTTATTTGATTTTGTATTGTTATGGTTATAACTTCATTATAGAAATAAAATTTGTATTAAATTAAAAGTTATAGCAGATATAAATTTTTCTGTAATTGTAATCATTCTAATTTTACTACTATCCCCTTAATCTTAATCGAGAATAGGTGTCCATATGTTGATTCAGTTTTACTATGATTAGATACAATTTTATATAATATTTTTAGAACATTTTATAATTATGGATTTACATTTAGTTCTCATTTCACAGTGTATATGTGAACTATTTTGGTGATACATGCATTGGTATCTTGGAAACTATAAGAGATAGGAAAATGGTTAGATGGGGAAGGTATATATAGGCTATTACAAATTTGCTTCTGACAACAGGGATCTTGGAAACGGTAAGAGATATGAAGTAGCTTAAATGGAGGCAAAGTTGTATAATCAGAGGACCAACATTATACTTCTAAAAATCAAGGCAAACATGATTAGTTTTCGAAATGTTCGAAACAAACCAAAATTTTGGAAATTCGTTTTTGTTTCATTTCAACCTTGTTTGAGGTGATATTGAAAAAAGAACACTTCATGGCAACTTTTTGCCCTCTATCAAATGGCATAATCAATTTTTATATGTAACGTTTCATCTCTCCAGGACCATCATCAACTTCATTTTTTTAAACAAGACCCTGGAAATGTTATTACATTTTCTGCAAACCTTCATGACCCCCAATACTGTACTGCCTCGGCCCAAACCCGATTCAGACGTTTTGTCTGAAAAAATTCATCTTGATTCCTTAGAGGCATAATGTTGGTCCCCTGATTATGCAACTTTGTCCCAGCTACTTCGTATCTCTTACCGTTTCCGAGATCCCTGTAGTGAGAAATGAATTTGTAACAGCCTGTGTTAAATAGACAATCCTACAATGCCGTCCTCACGAGCAAGCAAGTAAAATACATAGCATTACTACGAGTACAATCTGCACGTCCGCACACCCGCAGTTATAAGTTCGTCACAGAACTTGTCTTCTTTCATTCCTAATTTCGATTTGGGAGAGTAAGACATTGTTCGATATTTTCACATTTATTTATACAGGGTGGGCCACCAGTAACGCCTCGGTCGCTATGGACCAAACGGCAAACGTTACAGAAACAACATTTTTCGTTAGAATTAATAAATGACTTTCATGCGAGTGATACATTGTGCTCTATTAAACTAGAGAACAGTACTCCTGCACAATTATAAAATTGTTGTTGTACCACAGAAGTAACAAATACAAGCATGAAGTCCTTTTCATGTGGAAATTTATTTTCAGTGAATACTAAAAGTCGTCTTATTGCGGTAATTCTGAATATTTTGTCTTAATTTTATCAGTTGATATACTGAAATAATGTAACATGTAAGCTAAGCAATATAGTCACTGGTTGGGGTTGGAGACAAAATACATGTATAACTCGCATAACCTAATTATTATTTTCTCTAAGACATATCTATAACTATGTTCGGTTTGAAAAAACTTTTCTCCTTGTGCTGCTATCAGTAGGTACTTGCAGAAGTATCTTGACTAGATGACAGTAGTGTATAAATGAGAGTGCTGAGCGGAGCATGTACAATGTGCAGACCTTGACCCCAGACGACCGCAGGTCGTTGACCTTGACCCCAGACGACCGCAGGTCGTTGACCTTGACCCCAGACGACCGTAGGTCGATGACCTTGAGGTGACCTGGGCCCTGACGACCAGAGGTCGATGACCTTGACGTGACCTTGACCCCAGACGACCAGAGGTCGATGACCTTGACGTGGCCTTGACCCCAGACGGCCAGAGGCCAATGACCTTGGCTTGACTTTGACCCCAGGCGACCAGAGGCCGATGACCTTGACTTGACCTTGAGGTGACCTTGACCCCTGGCGGCCAGCGGTCGATGACCTTGATATGACCTTGATATAACCTTGACGTGACCTTGACCCCAGACGACCAGAGGTCGATGACCTTGACCCCAGACGACCAGAGGTCGATGATTGTTAAAAATAGAATATTACATCATATCTAAAAATAGCACCATATGGTTGCCAGATGTCATTTCTAAAAATAGAACATTACATCATTTCTAAAAATAGAATATTACATCATTTCTANTTATCAAGTCAAGGGCGGCTAACAAAAAATTTTAATGAAATACCTTCTCATCTGAAATGGATAATTAATATAATATTTCTCTTACGTGTGATTTATCTCGGATTCATGGAAATTCTTCTCTTTTGCATAAATACACTACACAAAGCACAATGATACACAAAACAAATAGGACCTGCACGTGCGGCACAAATAAATGAACTGGCTGGCTCTCAATAAGTAGTAACGGACTGTTACGAAACAATTTTTTCCTTTAAACCTGTGCGCGCGTCATGTATAAGTGAGACCTACCAACATGAATCATAGAAGAACGGAGATGCGAAAAATAATTGTCTTAGCACTACACAAGGTGAAACAACAGAGAACAACTTGGCTTCACTATTTGCTAACAAAAATGGGGAAACTTCGCATATATTTCTATAATTATTAGTAACTAACCTCTAGCAGATGGTTAAAAACTTTCTATTTGTTTGAGTAAACGTAATTTTCTTTAAAAAAAAAACTTATTTCTTGACATCCTGTATTTCAAAAAAAAAGATGAACACGTAAGAAAATATCATCTTATTTTTTGACTTACATATTCTATCATCACTTGAATTTTGGCACATTTTTCCAAAACACCCTGTATATAAAAAGGCAAACGTAATGTTTTTTACGTCTCCATGTGTGACGTGAGGTAGTAGAACTCATAGCCTAAGAAAGACCAATGTAGTTATAGAAATGATCAAATCAAACTATTTTTAGTTAGTAAATGTAGTACGTACTTTTCGTGAAGTTTTAATACTCGATGTACAATTGGAATATCTCTTCCATCTACTTTAAATACAACAATTTCTCCAACTCTTACAGGCTCTTCTGGGTAATTTGTTAAAAACAATAAATCACCTCTATGAAAAGCAGGCTCCATACTACCTGATAAAACTACAACTATAGGGCTTTCACTTCCTGTAACAACCATCAAACCTTTCCATATCATAAGTGCTGAAGACACTATCATACCAAAACTGAGAAGTTGATAGAGAAACTAAAAAAAAAAAAGTAGGATAATATGTGTTTTAAATGTATTTATCAGAATATGATCATAATTTGTATTTTATGTTCAAATTTCTATGTAAAATTATTACGATTTTGAAACGATCTCTAAGTGAATTGCAACAATCTCTAAGGGCCAAGCAAAACCCATATTCGGATTCAGCGATCACAAAAACTTGTACATGTTTCTTTACCGATTTTTCTCATCATTTATTCCTGATTTGACCTTAAAATTACCTCTAGGTGACCTTGCAAAGTCATGCAAGACTCATATTCAGATTCAGCGACCCCAAAAACACTTGTATACCTCATCAAGTCTGGTAATACTATTTACATGAAATGTTGTTCTGCAAATAATTATTCAGACTTACTGAGTCATCCCACCTAAAAGGCCCACTTTGAGGCCCAATATTTCGGAAACTATGCATAATTGGTCTTAGGGCCCATTGAGACTTTTGTTTAGAATGCTAAAAACTATAACACAAGCACAAATTTAATGAAATTTGATGATAAATATGAAAATATGAAAATTAACGGAAATTCAGTCTTGGAATTTAAACAGTCCCAGTAGTTGAAACCCTACATAGATTTAAAGACATCATTAAAGCCTCAAGCAATGACAATTTGAAAAAACACTTATGGAACTAAAATGTGATATCCAGTCCAAATTTCAAAAACAATTTATTTTTAGTGATATTCTGGCTATTGAACTTAAAAAATCTAGCATCATATTCAATAAACCATTGTGCATAAGTATGGCCTACTAGACATTTAAAAAAAAAGGGATGTGCATAAATTTACTATCATTACATGCTAGAAAAATTCCCAACAGAAAAATGTAATGATATGTATGAAGAGATAATTAAAAACGATATCCATCGTTTCAATACTAGTAATTTAATTGCTCAGGAGACAACAGGTGGAATAGTCCACATGTAAATAAAAAAAACTTGATTCAATGAAGGATGAGAACGGGGAAATAATAGCTTTGTTTGGGTTCCCATAAAATCCGGTTCCAAACCGTTCTAATCATGCGCTGTCTGAAATATGCATTCAAGTTTACTTTGAACGGTTCAGAATTTCCCAGATCTTTGTTTTGGTTTTATTCGAACTTGATTCGGAACCATTTTAAATCATCCGAAGTAGTTCTAGCTCCCAAGCACGAATTGCTTAGAACTGTATTATTTGGCACATGTGTAGTTATTTCCATTTTCCCAAGCTCCGTTTGTCATTCATAATTTTTTCATTTCCTATTTCATGTTTAAGAAAAGTACCTTTTTATTGGGTTTAACGAGTATTTCTGCGTTAATTAAGGAAAATAATTAACGTTATGGAAATGGACCTGTTATCTTTGAGCTCATCATCTTCCAGTTCCAGTTCTGAGGATATTGATGGAATTTTGGGAGTTATTTTCTCAGAACTGCAGAACAGTCATGTTAAAAACGAATATTTTTTTGATCAAACGGTTTATTTACCGATAAACAATTTAAAGAACACTTTAAACATGACAAGTTATCTTTTCTATCAAATACTTATAAAGAATCATATTTGTATCCTAAACTTGACACTGGATATGAAAGGATTTCATCAGAGAAAATTATTTTAATTTTTTTGTGGTCCGCAGGACATGCAGCAGCATCTTTTCGAGATGTAGCCGACAGGTTCAATACAGGATGTCCCGAAATTCATGCAACAAAATTTGGTCACAGATTCTTAAGACACATTTTTTTATATCTCAGAAACCTGTTGTACGAGAATCACTAAATTTGATACATAGGAGTTTTATGACATGTGGAATCTGATGGTGCTATGCTTTTTGGCGGGGAACTCCCTTTAGACAATTTTTCGTGGGCCCCCTTGTTTTTGAAGACAAAAAAATTTGGTCGCATATTTAAATTTCTTAAAAATTATCAGTTCACTAGAAAGCCATTAAATTTATAAACTTTTTGCCTCTTTATACTTTTTTCGTAAAACGCAATATTTTCGAGAAAAATGTCAAAATGTGATCAAATGCATATCGTGATTCGCCATTTTCCTCAAAAACATTGTGTTTTACGAAACAAATATTAAGAGACAAAAAAGTTTCTAAATTCAATGGCTTTCTAGCTAATAATTAAAAAAAATCAAATTTACGACCAAATTTTTCTTGTTCCAAAGACAAGGCGGCCCACGAAAAAGTGTTTCAAGGGAGTTTCTCGCCAAAAAGCGTAGCACTGTAAGATTGCACATGTCATAAAACCCCTGTATACCAAATTTAGTGATTCTCGTACATGGTTTTGAGATATAAAAAAGATTTCTTAGGGGCAGATTTCAGGGGGCTGTAACTCCGAAAGAGGAGTTCTTTTTGCCACTTGGCAAAAAGAAAAAATACCCTAAATTTATCTTAAGAATCTATGACCAAATTTTGTTGCATGAATTTCGGGACACTCTGTATAGCAATAAGCACATTACACCATATTATAAAAAATATCTCAATATTAAATAGTCATCAAGCATCTTTTATTACGTTTAGATAAGGTGTGTATGTTGGGGGTTGCGGTGGTGGTGGTGGTGGTGGTAGCAAAGTGGGAGAAGTAACTCAATGGCGAGAAGATAAAAGTCACTGTCTAAGTCATTGGGTGGGTTACTACTAATAATTTTATGGCTGTATAATATTGCTGTAAGGCAATCGGCCTATGATCAACTTTTCGCCCTTGGAGGTCGAATTCGAAAGGATTGGAGAGGTTTTTGGGCTTTGTGCCCATTGAGACTTTTGATCAGCGTGTTAACAACTACCGATTTGCCAAGTTTCAGAAAAATTGGCAGAAACCCATTTTCCATAAGGATTGAGCGTGGTCCTTTATTAAGGCCAATGTCGTTTCTCAGTTAAAATAAAATTCGCAACTACCACCCATATCCAAACCCAGACATAAAAAATGTGATGTTTCTGATGTTGTTGCAAAAATAAAAATAGGTCTTTTGTTATACAAATTCCACATATTCTTTTAAATAATTACCAGACATTCAGCCCTATGCTGTAAAAACATTGAAATTAATATCAACCTTGAAGTGATTTCAATGAAAATTGATTTGATTTCTTCAATTTTGGAGAAAATTGGTATGCACTAAGAACACTTGTTTACAATACCTTGACATTAAAATTGATTGAAATTTATTTCAAGTTTATTTGTGGCAACGTCGCTATTTGCTATAGGGAGATACCGGTAATTATGGAAACAATCTATATGAACAGAAACGGTGACATCAGTCAAAAATTTTATTATAAGATTCTTAATCATCAGCTTTATTATTCTGAATTTATCAGTTGTATATAAACGGTAAATATCACAGCATAAAATTAACAAAACAATTTCTAGACTTATTTGTTACTTTTAAATAGATGCCATCAAAAAAAGCCAGCCGTTCGCAATATACAAAACTTTTGGAAATAATTGATCAGACGGATATAATAAAATGATAAGAAAAGAAAGCCTGGGAACGTATTTCTCAAGAAGTGAATGCAATGAAAAGAGCAGTGAAAATGCAGGATCGAAAAAGGTAAGGGAACTTAAAAATAAGTAAGCACTAAGCTTATATGAATTTACCAGTCAATAAAATATTTTGCTTGTAAGCATACTTATCAGTTATTGCTCTTTGTATAAATCATATTATAAGTATTTACCTACACTTGAAAAATATACAATGACAGTAGGTATTTGTAATATGTATTAGATACCAAATTGCAACTTTTAAATAAAATTACTAGGTATATTTTAAATTACAGTCATTTATAGAAGAATAAGAGGTGAAAAGCCCCTTACCGACATAGAAGAAAAATATGCAAATATTACTGGATTGTTTGCCTCGTGTTCAGGTGTAAATATTCCAGAGTTGGGTTTTGGAAAAAGAACCAAAGTAAAAGCTAAAGCTAGGAGAATTCAGTTAATAACTGGAGGTGGCATTGGAGGTAATTGAAATTTTAAGAAATCTAGAAAAAAAAACTTTTGGAGGTTTTATTAAAATATTTAATATATGGGCACCCCCAAGTTGTAGAGATCTAGGAAAATCTTTCAGTATGAAACTTTTTACATTAATTTTTTATTATTTATTATTAATTATTTTGCATTTTCAGCTAAACCATTCGAGTCGCATGATATGTTAAGGAGTCACATCGAAATGTTAGAAAAAAAATTATAACAATTATTTAAAAAATAGTATATTTATTTTGAATGTGGCATTAGAAAACTTGTTAAAATCTATGAGTAATTAAAAACACTTAAATATTAAATTAAAAATATTTTATTTCATATGGATATTTTTATGAATTTTGAATTAGCCTATTTCCTACAATATACGGCCTTCCTGAAAATTATTTCTTCTTATAATCTATATGTATAATTATCTTCTTCTAATTCGTCATTTTCATCATCATCCAACATTTCTAAAATAAAATTAACATTATACCTTTGTTAAATCGAAGTAATCAGCCCTATGCTGTATGAACATTGACTTCATATCAAGGTTGAATTTATAAGAAAAAATGACATTTAGACAGACATTTCAATAAAAATGGAGGTTTACTATGCTGTAAAAAACAAATTGATTGAAATTTGTCAAGGGTTTGAAATGATGTCAAGTAACCTTGAAAACTTCAAAAGTTGGTATGCACTAAAGCAGAAATTGATATAAAACTGCAGATCAAGGTTGACAAATGTCAAGAATTGTAACGGAAGTCGAAAACCTTCACGTTACGAAACTTGAAACCAATTTAATCAACAATTCTTGTTGCTCCAGCTAGGGTAGCACAAATAATTTATTCCCGTGCAATATTACATAACCTGTATATCCTTTGATATGAAAATTTGGATGATTATAATGGTAAGTGTAGCATTACTTCGATTTAACAAAGGTATAATGTTAATTTTATTTTAGAAATGTTGAATGATGATGAATATGACGAATTAGAAGAAGATAATTATACATATAGATTATAAGAAGAAATAATTTTCAG